TCATCCGCCCTGGATTCCCTGTGTTTCCAGTTCCTATCTGTACCAGTGTCCATCCTCTGGTCCAGCCAGACTTGTAAGGTAGAATTCGTGTCATGATAGTGGAGGCGGGGAGGAAGCATTTAGGAACTAGAGGAAAGTTGTATTTTTCATCGTTGCTACATCTCACACTGACTGGGTTGTCTCCTCCCCGAGACCCCTCACACACACTGTTTTTTGTCATGCCAAAGGCAATCCCCACACACCACAGACACAGTCCTGCAAGTCCCCCCTGAAAACAGGCTGGGGCAGGAAGTGTGCGTGTATTGGGGTGGGGGACGGGTTGCTAAGGGGCCTTCTCCCGAGGAGCCCGCCCTCTCCCTCTGACTGCCCGGGGTGGGGACTTGGGGTGAGGATGGTGTGGGTTCCCACATGCCCTCTTTGGATGGCAGGGACCTCCCAGCAGTAAGGGCAAGCAGAGGTCTTACTGGAAGGACAAGGCGGGACCAGGCCAAGGAGCCCTCTCGGAGGGGCATGGGACCCCCCAGTCTCATTCCTCAGCCCACAGTGGCCATGTCCACCTCCCAGCCACCAGATAGATCCTCAGTGGCCCCCTTCTGCTGCCAGCATACAAGGAGGATCCCAGAAGGACCTGCCCCCCAGCCCCACGCCCGCCTACCTCCTAAATGAGTGAGGCCTCACAAGGCCTCTTGTCCTGCCTCAGGCAACAGGGGGATAGAGGGAGTAAGCGCTGAAATGCTAAGTCCCAGAAGAGAGGCTAGGGGCCCCTCAGCTCAGCTCAGGAGCATGTACTGGTGCCCAGGCTCCTAGAGGTATGTGAAAGGCTCAGGTGGGGAGGGGACACAAAGAGACAACGGAGGTCTCATCATTGTCAACAGGATCAAGAAAGAGGTTCACGGCTTTCTAACAGTTTGTGCCTGACTGCAAACCTACCCAGCAGTGCCACGGAAAAGTCCTGGTGATCCACCCCCCACCCCCCACCCCCAAAAGGGTGTTTAGAAACCGAGGTTCCACTCTGTAACACATGGGGTCACCACGGGTCAGGTGGACTCCACAGCCATGGGTGTTGTCGTCAAAGGGCTCACCGCTTGTTGAAAAGAGACCTGGGCCCACATAGAGACAGGAAACACAGCGTATGTGTGCAGAGGGGTCAGCTCGGGCTGGGGGACAGGTGGCCACTAGGTCGGATCGGACCCCGGAAAAGGCACTGGGGAGGGGGTTGGGCTGTGAGACGGAGCTGTCATCACCTTGCTCCACCTGGAATTAGCTTGGCCTCGGAGGCCAGTGCGGCCAGTCCTGCTGAGCCTGGAGGGCTAGTGGCCGCTTGAGGGAAGAAGCTGCTGATGTAGGGGGCAGGAAAACGAGTGGGCTGCCCGCTACCTGGGTAACAACCAGAGCACAGGCCCAGGGCCATGCTGGCCCATCAGCTGACCTTTCTCCCCTGCCAAGGCTGAGTTAAGAGGCTACCCTCAGAAAAGCCTGTCAGTCAGGCTCAGCTTTGGTCCCTCTCTGTCCGAGGAAGGAGGGGTGGAGGAGCCCGTCTCCGGGGCACTGCCTGCGGACAAGACTGCGCCCGAAAAGGCAAGTTCAGCAAG